CTTCGCAACATTTCCACTATGCCACAGCGCCTCTCTCGGTGCCAAACTTGCAAAACCTAGTCATCTTCTCGCTATTTCAGCGCGCTAAGAACTCTTTTTCGAAAATCAAATACATTATGGAAGTCGTCGAGATTTGTGCTATCGAGTGGTTATTGAAAGTTTGTGGGACTTTGTTTGGCGAAAAATGCTCTAGTTCGAAACAAAATCCTCTTTTCACGTTACAACATAATAAAAAGGCCATTTAAGAAATAGTGCATCATGAAAATTTTTGTGGTTCAAGTTATTGAATGACAATTAAAACTTTCGGAAGGAACAAAAACCACGTTTTTATCAAGAAGTGGAACACGGTGGAGATTATGGAAAAAGTACCCTGAACATATCAGAACACTGTTCCATGCAGTTCAAGTTTCGAATATAATCATAAGAAATCTGTTCGTATGTTTACAAGTATTCTAAAAGTTTCACTGCCTAGTCTATTTTCAAGCATGGAACGGTGTGAAATGAGACCACAGAATGCTGAGAAACGAGTAAAGCTTGGAAGCTAGCATAGGATAGAATCCCTTCCGCAGTTATTTTATCAGAAGCTTACATGTTGCACACTACACCATCGAAGACTCTCTGCCTTTCTCTAAGCCATCTTCAACTGCATCTGCTGCTGCTAGCAACTAGCCATGAACTGCTCACTGGGTTTTCCTTGTCAGACTGTAATGTGTCGATAAATGTCGAGTTCGTTGGCGTGAGTACAACAACAATATTTTTATTATATCCACAGTGAAGCTCAAATTCTACGATTGAACACGCTTAGAAAAAGGTTTCGCAAATTATTTTGTGTTGATTGCTTTTTTCATTTCGGCCTATAACAAAAACAATTGTTTCTTGAAGGAGACACTAATGATTGCATGAAGTCAACAGAAAAAAATTGTTCATTAAAGAATTAGTTTGAAGGGTGATTACTATATCAAAAGCCTGATTGATTGTCTAAATACTTTCGTTTCGAGTGTTTTCTTAAGACTACAACTCAAAATTCAGTACGCCTTGCAATCATTTTTAAGCCACGCATGTCAAAGGTCTGTCAAACAGGGCTGACTTATAGAGCCCGATACACGTGTTTCGATCTTGCGATCTCGTCAGTCGGGCAGTTACCCTTTCTCGTCTTTTGCTAATCTCTGTGGGTGCTCCAGTCCTCACACTAAGAGTTAGCGACGACGAATACTTGACACTCCAGGTCCAGTGAAAAACTCACCAAACACAGAGTGTTGTACACTCGATTGCTCGTGGCTAGTATATCCAATATATCATAACTTTCGTTTCGAGTGTTTTCTTGAGACCACAGCTCAAAATTCAATATGCCTTGCAATCATTTTTGCATGCGTGGCTCAGAAATGATTGCAAGGCATATGCATTAGACGGTCAGAGTTCTCCACAAAGCCACTAGTAGTTCGGTGTATTGCTCAATGAATCTCTTAAGCAAGAGAAACTCATCGCGTTACTTCTGCGCACAGCTTTGATAATCGGTAGGGCTATCGAGGTTCCACTCGAGCCACTCCAAGATTTACGAGATGGCAGCTGATGATAGTAATTAAGCCCAAGCCTTCTATGGGCTTTTCCTCCATTGCTTTAAAAACATGTATCTCAAAAGCGCAGTTTGCTCGACATGAATACGTCTTTTAGCTCAACTAGTAAAGTTTATGAGTGCAGATGTGCGACTCAAAGACGCTGTTTCGAAATTCTGTACCAACTTCTGAACAACCTAGAATGAATTAGGAAGGTAATCTTCAATCACCTTACACTATTTCAACGAGGCTTATTTATGATATGTATATAATTTTTTCGACGATCAGAGATCTGCCGTCCTATAGATTAATGATAACATCAATCCTCAGTTACTAATTGTCCAATGAATTTGCACAGCACTATCGATAACCTCATCCAACGCATAGGTAGAATTTAGTGGTGGGTCTATCAAATTGTCATTTAACGTTGGTTCTCTGATCACCAGGTTGACTGCCAACACAGATGCCACTTTCGTTGTTGTGCTGAAAAGGAAATGACAGAGAAGGTTTTTCTGCATGAAAACTCACGAGTATCTGTGATGATGAACTGGAAATGTTCTAAAACAACTTGTTTAGACCGTTTGCGACGGCGACAAAAATCGATGCTCACATCAAAAATTGTAAGCAGTGTGAAATTTTTGTTGTTAGAAAGTTTTTTGAAAAACGGCCACGTACCGCTCTAGCCAAAGATCGAGCTTTTGAATGATTACTAACACTCTTATGAAAAGTTCTTGTTCACCAAAAGAGATCGGTTTTCCATTTGTCGCCGTCTGACATAAAAGAATGTTTTCCCTGTGTATTCTATAGGTAATCCTTCTTTAATAGATTCACATGTACTTTGTCATAACATTATTTTCGCTGCAACCTTTGCGACTAAGCATATCTACTTGTTTTGGTATTTTACGCATTTTCCGTACTTGATCGCCCTCAAGGCCACTCCATTGTACCACCTCAGCTTCCAATCTTTCAGAAAAATTTCAATTTCAATTTGTGACCGCTTGTAGGAGGTTGTGACTGTCCGCCAGTTAACCGCACATATGGTCGATCACTGCTTTGCATAGATATCCACCTCTACATTCATCGTTTGGATACATATAATTGGTAACTACTGCATCTTTCTCGCTTATTGTTGTTACTTGGCATTCACTGGCTCCCAGGGCGCGCCTTCAGAAGTGGTCGAGATGAAACTGCGGATCTTTGACCTTTCCAAGCTTTGAATAAGGGTGAATCTTCCAAAACTTCGGCCAATATTGTACCCCACTGTATTAAGTCATATTATGTGGACATTGATGAAAAGATACTTAGTGAGCGATCAGCGAAAGTAATCGTTCAGAATCCTACCCTACTCTTCAATAACGATGGGAGGTATTTAAGAAAAAGGAAGGCTCACTTGCACTGTGCATGCTCGGTTTTGGGAGTTGAGTATGAGATAGAAAAATAGTGAACATCGAACTGATAATGAGCAGGAAAAGACGGCTTCACTTCCACAACATAGGCGATAAGAAAGCGCAAAAAGAGTGGAAAATTTTCACCTCCAAAGATTGTCATTTTCCTAATGAAGAATATGGATTGTTAGGACTCAAGGCACTCTTTTCATTAGAAACAAATGCAAAATCATCTTCGTAATTTAATTTCTTTTGAGAATGATGTACTCTAACTATCTAAATTTTATTATGTGATTGTCGACAAAACCGTCTGTGAGGTTCAAACAGCGGATTAACTAATCCAAAAGCTAGGCATAATTTTCTCCCCATTGATACTGTGCACTAAGAAGCCTACCTACGAGTACAAAATCTGAATACAGTAAGAATTTTGAAAATCTGGGTGAGCAAAATGCACTCTTTGCAAGAAATTATTCTTGTATGACAAATACGAACTCTATTAAAACTTACTCAGGTTAGATACTTGAAAAGTCTCTGCACAACTTTCCTATGAAAGTGAGACCGCTGAAAATGTATTCTCGAGATACGCTCCTACAATATCGTCATAAGAATTGTGAAAAAAGAGTTGGAAAAGAGTTATCATTCTAGAGACGTAGCTCACATATTGAAAAGCATTTTGCGTTTTTTTTTCACCAAAAATACGTTTGTAGGAATCTTTTAGATATTATTATACAATATATCTTTTTGAGTCTTTTTAGTTTCAAAATTTCACTATACAATGCCAGTAAAGCCTTCTGTAAAGTTCAACACTGGACTAATCAAACCGAAAGCAAAACGTTATCTTCTTACCCATTGATGTAGAGTGATGTGCAAAAGTTCCGCGCCAGCCGGGATTTGCACTCAAATCTCGCTCTATCTGTTGACCCATGCTCAAACCCGTTGCACTACTGCCGCCCATATTGCTCACCACTCTTTCTACACTTCAACGCATCTATCTGTCAACAACTAGCCGTCAACATCATATCATCACTAGAAACGAATAAATGAAAAGGAACTATATTTAATCAGCAAACAACCCAGTATCTGTTAACGTGAGTGGGTTCAATGACGGTAGCGACTACCTGAGCCATTTCGTTGAAAGCTGCTTGTTCACAGATAGATGCGTTATAGCATAGAAAGAGTGGTGAGCAAAACGGGAGTCAGCAGTGCAACGGGTTAGAGCATGCTCTACCGGATAGAGTGAAGAGTGGGTTCGAGTCTCGCCTGACGCGAAAGTCTTGCACGTCACTCTATATCACTATATTTTCAACATCATACAACCGCTAGAAGCGGTTAAATAAGAAGAAATTATACGTCATCTTCTTTTCCTTATCTTAGTATATTATGAAAGCTTTTTCAGAACACAAGCTTTGTACTTAAGTTATTATTTTTCGAGATATCAGAAAACTTTTGATAACATTGGCGAAATTCGAAAATATATTTAGTAATATTTAAAAATGAGCTTTTCGCAAGAATGTTTTTCTCAAGTGAACATATAAATTATTTTGAGATGTGACCGTTATTTGTTTAATAATATCTTTATGGAAGTTTCTTTTGTCATAATGCATTTTTTTGTAGTGAAAAGGTGCCTCTAGCACATAAACTTTACTTATAAGAATCAATAATCCATATGCGACGTTCGAGCGACTGGCGAACTACTCTACGTGCAAAACGTAACCTTCTTTTCGCCCTTACAGTGTTTATGGGAAGCATTGCTGAAAATCATTTTTGGCACCAAAACTGTCGAAATAAGAGCTATCGATGACTGCCATAACTCTAGCAAAAAAACTTTCTACAGATTACAGTCTAGTAAACAAAGTAAATCGAGTGTGAAACATAAATTTCTTTTTGCTGTTACAACGCAACGAGAAGAGGTTTTTTTAGGTATAGAGCACAACATTGTAATCAGAGTGGCTGTCAGCTAAACAGAGTTTATAAAGCGAAATCGCATAGCCAACCTGACGTGAAAAGCTTGGTGGCTGATAGCTAACAAGGAATGTTGAAGATGAGTGGGTGACGCAAACGTGGCTCGGTGGTGCAGTGGTAGAGCACGCGTATCAGGATAGGATGAAACACGGGTTCGATTCCCGCTTGAGGTTGTGTTTTTAATTACCACTCAGTTCTTTTAACAATATGAATGGTAATAACAATGCGAAAAAAACGCAGTGAAAATATTAGAAGTTTCGAATATTATTGAAATCTTGGAATTTGAGCTTTCCAATAATTACTCTTCAGGTAGAAATTTCTGCATACTGAGAAAGGCTTTTGAAGAATCGTTTACGGGCCCAGATACTAGCCGTTCCTAACATAGTAAAGAGAGGAAAAACGTGAATGTTATTGCAATTAGAGTATAGGCTCCTTTGGATACTTTTTTCAGTTGGCTAGAAATGGATGCACACTCTGTAATTTCTAATCTTATCACTGTGCCTTCATCTGAGGATTCACTTATTTCTGAAATTGCCATATTTATCTCAGAAAGGCGCAAATTCTGTACACGCGCCGTGACCAGCATCAGAACCACTTGGCCACGCTCCCCTTCCCCTTCCCGTATCTGACTATGGCAGCAAAATTGAAGGGATAAACTCCTAGCAATTTTGAAAAGCCACTGTTCCGATCAAGAAAACACTTGTTTGTAGGTTTAATCTCCGGCATAATATTTTTCAACCCTACTAACTGGTGAAATTTCTGCCTAGCTGCAGCGATCTATAGAGGGTCACTTACCTTGCAACCACTAGCAGCAATTATCACACAACAAAAAAAACTGCACTCACGTCTTAATTACAACTCAAAAGTTCGACTTTCTATAAACCTCGGCATAATTAATTGTTATATGGAAATCGAGAAAACTTATCTTGATTAGCTGACGCGAGGTTGGTAAATTAGTCGTAGAAGTTCGGCTGACGTTTCGGCGACCCGCCTTCTTCAGAGCCTGAGCGTATGTAGTATTAGACTATTTGAATGATTTGATGGTCTTATTTATATGCTGCCTAGGTCAAGTTAGAAGGTCAAACGAAGAAAGGGCGCGAGATCTCTTGTGATGGTGACGCACTCGTCCTTCCGGTTCATTTCGGGATTTTGGGCGTGTATATTCAAAATGCCTCGAAAGTCTTGCGCGTGGATGTTTTTGATTCCTGCGCTAGGATTGCGACAGTCACATTGAAATCTTTGTTGTTGTGTCTTTGTGCCCTATATAAACCTAAAGGTTTCGTTTTATCTATTTTAGATTTACTATCTAGATGTTCTTCTATGCGGATGAAAAGTGGTCTACCCGTTTCGCCTATATATTCTTCCCCGCATGTTTTACATGTTAATAAATAAATTGTGCCCTATCTCATACAATTCCCCTCTTTTCCGTTAGGGCGGATCATACAGTTTTTGGTGTCGCACAATCGATCTTAAAGTCTATTACGGATCAGCTGATGACGTAGGGTGGGAGGTGGGACTTCAATACCTACCACGGAACTTTCAAGACCGCATCTTTTTAGGCACTTTTTAACCGCGCTACTAATTTCGTTTGATATAAATGGCAGTTTGAAGGGAACTTTAGTCAGGTGCGGAGTATTGATCCTTCGGGACTTTTTGAATACTCCAATTGAATACTCGCGTCAGCTAATCAAGATAAGTTCTCTCGATAAACATATAACAATTAATTACAACTATTTATGCTGGGTGGGCCTGACGTGCACTAGCCTTATCTGCTGATCCTATTTGAATAGTTATACACACCCAAGCAAACCACGACAGTCAATTGGCTCGATAGAGTTCTAAGATAGAAGAGAAGGCTGGAACATTATCATTTCACCCTTTTGGGCTCTTTTCTCATTCTGGAGAAGTATTTGGTGAAGTTTTGCTTCCTTAAGCGCGCAGTAGCGGAATGTTTCAAAGGATTTGCTTCCTACGAACACGTTGCTAGATAAAAAATCAAACCGACATTCTCAGTGGATGTTGGAGCAAACTAGTACATGTTTAGCACTCTAGCATTATTCACATCCATTTGCTCAATATCGCTAGTGTCATACCAGATAATACAGGCCATTATGATTTTCTGAGTGAGACCGCTCGGGAGCACGCAATATTTCGCCGCTTATTGTCAGCATTGAAAAATTCTTCAAAAAAAAGCTAATCACGCTTGGGTCAGGACAGGTATCGAATTAGTTGTCGACTGGTAATTCGTGAATTTAGGGCCGAGAACGGAATCGAAAAGGAATGGCGTGCTAAAAAACACTCATAGATGTTGGTTTCATATTCACACCAGATCATCGGGCATCTTCTCTAGATAACATGTGTGAGTGGATGTCCGGCGCTTTAGGAATAAGTTCCTAAAGGTTCAAAACGGTTGGCAAACGCTTCTAGTAGCCAAGATTTGATATGCTCTAACAAAATCGTTTAAAACTTATTCAGGAAAAAACCACACAACCAGCAGCATAAGTCGACTGTGAAGTAGAATTCTCCAAGTGGCGGCTGAATCAACAAGCAAAACCAAAAAACCACATGAATTCATGAAAAAAATGCATCGAGTTGGCTCAAAAGATTCTCCTACTCTCATCATGTAAGTTCCGTGGTATCAGTCAGTAAAAATTGAATAAAAACCTATATTGTCGCCTTGAAATCCTGCTCCTGAAGTCATTAGATGAAATGACTAAGATTCCCCTATTGCTCGGTAACCTTGGGTCAGCTGTCGTTTTTGGATGGTAGGTGCTACGAATAGCGGGCTGACGCCGTGCGTTCCAACTATGGTTTAGTACTTAGACTGAAAAAACTTCCATGTGCACTTTCATAGAAAGAGTGTCTGCATGTTTTGAATATTTTCATTATAATCTGATAATACATTTTAGTTTTTCATGAGGTCTATTACGGCAAATATACAGTGCGAGACACGTGTTGCGGCATTACACCGTCGTCAGTTGCCTTTCTGTTCAGTCAGTTTTGCAAAGTCATTTTTCAACCGCAGAACCACATCTCTAGAAAAATAACAGCTTTTCAACTTTTATTGAACATGTGTGATCTGTACAACATCTTTATTTTAATACTTTTTAGCAGCGCTGTGATGTTATAGATATATATCTAAGAAAGTTGTGTGGCAATGCAAAGAATTCGGTCCTACGTGGGAGTTGAATCCGTGTTACTCAAACCGAGGACTCTCATTACCACCGAGGCCACTGCTTCGTCATTTTTCCTTCTTCGATATAAACTTACATAATTGGTTTGTACATCTGGAAAACTATAGGAATAATCGAGATTTGATATCATCTCGTCTCATAAAATGTCAAAAGTCATCATAATGATTCAACATTAGCAAATAATGAACATTTCTAGAAAACGACACTACACACTACATGCAGTGCCAGTTCATCGATAATTGTGAACGACCTCCTGATTATTGGTGCACATCCGGATGTGGAACCCTTATAGAAATACAGAATCAATATTGTTCTATAGTTTCATAGATTTCATAGTGAATTTACCCACTTATTCCTCGCAATGACAACATTTATATTAGCTACATAGGCAGTAAGTATGGGCAATTGTCCAAGTGCTCGGTCCTTAAAATTAATGATTTTAGAAAGTAATAGTTGTTGATCACTTTACGAGATGCTGACTGATGATTGTCATAAAAAACATTAGCTTCTGCTTATTTCAGGATGAGCTAATTATTGATAGTTTTAAGAAGCACTAGCTGTGATTATTTTGCGAAGTGCGAGCGGTTATTTGTTTTAAGAGGTGCTAAGTGTTAATTATTTAGAAGTACAAATTCCAAGAAAAGTGTATATTGTTGACCGGTACTGACTGTGGAACGTTGATTGTTGAATAAATAGATCAACCTAAATATCCACAGTATTCCTAAGGTCTTTCATAATGAGTGAAGAAATTACATTTTCTTCGAAGAAAAACTCCACATATTGAAAAATGCGAGCTCTCCTAAGGCTTACTTCGGCTACAAACCAAAAATCTCACACAACACTTTACCTTAGAAGTCTTATCTCATGGAATACGTGCTCACGAATCGCACTCCTACAACATTGTCGAAAAGAATGCTGTGTTAAAGATGAAATCGCCTTTTTTCGCAAGGATGTGGGCTTTCCAATGAAAAATGCTAATTTTGATCGCCAATTTTCTGTTATTTTGTGGCAGTAGTGCTCCGTTAACTCCTTGATGATCAAGTTGAAATCTGAGCGCGGCACGCGACTTGTCGCGCGGTGAGCTACAATCACGGTGCAACAGTCTTTTGATGAGATTTCTATTTTTATTGCCACTCAAAGGGTTTCAATCGCCAAGAAATCATAGGAGGTGATAGAAGAGAGGTAATTAAAGCTAGCTGTAATATGAATATTGCCGATCCTCCTACCTAGAACTCCTAGAACTCTGCGTTCCAAGCTGAACGCTTACTACTCACAAAAAGTGGAGTTTCGAGTCTTGATTCAACATTTTTGAGTTGTCTAATCTATATCCATTTATATTTCAATTATATCCATTTTTCATTTACTACATCAGTCATGTTACACTATGGCGAATGAATAAGTAGTCGATTAATCAAATGTATTGCCATTCTTGTGTCTATAATCAAATTTTAGGGCATAAATGTATTGGTTGTAAGATTTTCTCATTTCATATATCGTGTTCTCATAGATATATTTACGTGTGATATGATCTGCTATGAGATTTAGAGTTTTGTTCTGGAATTTGTCATGCATGTATGCGAGAAGATATTCTATACTGAGGGAATCATTTCTTAGCAGACGGATATTTGTGTCTATCGTAGGAATGATTAGTTGGATAAGACGGTCTCACCTCTAAAAGATGTGCGACAGAAGTGGGGAGTAAAAGCTGGAAGTAATGCCTTTTTTTAGCTTTTCGGTTGAGCGCGGACCTAGGTTCTATTTCTTACTGAAAATGCTTACGGATATTTCCTTGATAATATGTCGCTCGCCTGTGATAACGAAGTGTCTCGACCATCTAATTTCGCTATATAACTTCTCACCAGAACTCTCAGCGAAGTTTTAATGATGATATGACTATCCCAAGAGAGAGGCGTATTCTTTCCCTCTAGTATTACTCCGGAAAAGCCGTCTATCGAAAAAAACAGGAGGTGCATTGTAAA